AACATTCTTCAAAATATCTTCTTTTGTGCACAACAGAACAAAGAAACTCATACAGGTTTGGAACAACTTGATGTAAGGAAATGATGACAATTTAAATTTTTTGGCCAAATGAAGCCTTTAAGTTTTCTGTAACATTATGTTCACATATGCAAACGTTGCATTATCTAATTAAATATGCACTCATTTGCATATATTTCCAGAATAATAAACTGAACATTGCATAAAGCCTGGTCCAATTTTTTTTTTACATATTAGAGTTAAAGGCTTTTACTGAGGGGATCTCTCTTTTAATCGCTCCATAAATCACAAAATACCGCCAGAAAAAAACCACCATATTTAGAGGTTACAGTGGGTACGGAAAGTATTCAGACCCCCTTACATTTTTCACTCTTTGTTATATTGCAGCCATTTGTTAAAATCATTTAAGTTAATTTTTTTTCCTCATTAATGTACACATAGCACCCCATATTGACAGAAAAACACAGATTTGTTGACATTTTTGCAGATTTATTAAAAAAGAAAAACTGAAATATCACATGGTCCTAAGTATTCAGACCCTTTGCTGTGACACTCATATATTTAACTCAGGTGCTGTCCATTTGTTCTGATCATCCTTGAGATGGTTCTACACCTTCATTTGAGTCCAGCTGTGTTTGATTATACTGATTGGACTTGATTAGGAAAGCCACACACCTGTCTATATAAGACCTTACAGCTCACAGTGCATGTCAGAGCAAATGAGAATCATGAGGTCAAAGGAATTGCCTGAAGAGCTCAGAGACAGAATTGTGGCAAGGCACAGATCTGGCCAAGGTTACAAAAAAATTTCTGCTGCACTTAAGGTTCCTAAGAGCACAGTGGCCTCCATAATCCTTAAATGGAAGACGTTTGGGATGACCAGAACCCTTCCTAGAGCTGGCCGTCTGGCCAAACTGAGCTATCGGGGGAGAAGAGCCTTGGTGAGAGAGGTAAAGAAGAACCCAAAGATCACTGTGGCTGAGCTCCAGAGATGCAGTCGGGAGATGGGAGAAAGTTGTAGAAAGTCAACCATCACTGCAGCCCTCCACCAGTCGGGGCTTTATGGCAGAGTGGCCCGACGGAAGCCTCTCCTCAGTGCAAGACACATGAAAGCCTGCATGGAGTTTGCTAAAAAACACCTGAAGGACTCCAAGATGGTGAGAAATAAGATTCTCTGGTCTGATGAGACCAAGATAGAACTTTTTGGCCTTAATTCTAAGTGGTATGTGTGGAGAAAACCAGGCACACAGTCCCAACAGTCCCAACAGTGAAGCATGGTGGTGGCAGCATCATGCTGTGGGGGTGTTTTTCAGCTGCAGGACTGGTTGCACTGGTTGCAATCGAGGGAAAGATGAATGCGGCCAAGTACAGGGATATCCTGGACGAAAACCTTCTCCAGAGTGCTCAGGACCTCAGACTGGAACTAAGGTTTACCTTCCAACAAGACAATGACCCTAAGCACACCGCTAAAATAACGAAGGAGTGGCTTCTCAACAACTCTGTGACTGTTCTTGAATGGCCCGGCCAGAGCCCTGACTTAAACCCAATTGAGCATCTCTGGAGAGACCTAAAAATGGCTGTCCACCAACGTTTACCATCCCACCTGACAGAACTGGAGAGGATCTGCAAGGAGGAATGGCAGAGGATCCCCAAGTCCAGGTGTGAAAAACTTGTTGCATCAAAAAGACTCATGGCTGTATTAGATCAAATGGGTGCTTCTACTAAATACTGAGCATTTTTCAGTTTTTCTTTTTTAATAAATTTGCAAAAATGTCAACAATTCTGTGTTTTTCTGTCAATATGGGGTGCTGTGTGTACATTAATGAGGAAAAAAAATTAACTTAAATGATTTTAGCAAATGGCTGCAATATAACAAAGAGTGAAAAATTTAAGGGGGTCTGAATACTTTCCGTACCCACTGTAAGTGTCAAAAAGTTATTTTTATTCTGTTTTTGTTCATTAATAACTTGGTACTTTTTGGCAAGTAGCACTGTGGCTGGCAGGCATATGTGATTACCCTTGAACAAAAAAATTTTGGTTTGTAAACAAAAGGACAATTACTAAAGTAACATTTGATTTAGATTTTAAAGTTATTTGAAAATGAACAAAAGAAAACCTGGCAATTGAATGCACACTCACTTTAAGATCTGCCACCATTCAATTAACAACTGATGGTCCACGTCCTATAGTTTTTTTTTCTTTTTCAAAAATCGCTTTAAAAGGTCTGAATTTTTAGTTTTTGAGTTGTTTGTAAAGAGGACTCGGGCATAAAAATGCATAGATATTACTGTTTCCAAACCCTGTTCCAAAACCCTTTATTTGTGATTGCACAGGTTTTCGCCCAAAAATGAAATACAGAGAGCGTTCGAGACAGACCGAGAAGAGAGGTGCTGCAATAACGTTAAATGTCAAAAATAATAATTTTTTTTTTTTTTTTGGAACAATCAAGCATAAAAACCTATTCTAGTACACCTCAAATTCAATTCAAGTAGGATTCCCTTTAAAAAAAATTTTTTAATTAAATAAATTTTGCTATTCACAAGCCACTATCATTGTATTGATCGTTAAAGATCATATATGACCAGTTTAAAACCTCACTGACAGTGGTCATTTCTTATTTATATTAAGTAATGTGCTGAAAGTTAAAGGCAACACATGCCAATAGTGTCCCATGTCCCTAAGGTTGCAAACCCCTGCTGTAGTCTGTGCATCTGAATTTTTAACCACACTACCAGCTGTCCACTTTCAGTACTTACTTTGTCAAAGCCCATTGCACAAAGTTTGTCTATTTTGCGTGTGTACTCGGGACTGGACACGGGAGCTCCAGCGTAAACGTGAGACCAGAGACGAGCGGTTTGTTTGAACATTTCTGGATTCTGCTTATACTGCAAAAAACAACAACAGTAACGTAGTTGAAAGGTTTGCAATGCTTTGTTATTGTACGTTCTCATTCAGACATGCATGTGTACCTGATTGGCTACCACAGCGTCTTGAGGATCATCTGGCTCTGCTGCAGCTAACAGAGCCTGTAGTGAGAGCAGAACTGTTCGCAGAGTCATAGCAGCAGCCCTGTGCACAGGAAGTGAAGACAGAATACAGAGGAGATGAAGAAAGAGTACAGAAAAGGGAACAGGAAAGAGAAAGTACAACAGTAATTGGGGAAATAAAACTGTGTGAAACACATTGATGACAGTAAACTACACCTGTCATGATCATTAATTATAAGCACTCACCACTGGTCTTTTAAAATGTCCAAACATATTGCCCCAGTAACTGAACTTATATTGGGATGCCAGATCTTAGTAATAAACCGCACCTGAAAAACATGTAGGAAAAATATATTTTAACTTCAAAGTCCTATGATCTTTCAAATCAAGTCAACATTAAATCATAATTGATCATACCTGCAAAAAAAAAAAAAAAACTCTTGCATAAAACAAAACAAATTAGCTTGAATTATTACCCTGATTAGAGCTCTGCACGGGCCTCAAATTTAGGCCCTAGCCCGGCCCTGGCCCGCCCCGTGTCCATAAGCTTATCAGAATTACCATCCCGATCCCGTCTTTTTTTCCCCCTTCTCCCAAAACAGCTTATACTACTGTTTCAGCTATTAAAATAGTTCAGTTTTGTATGTAATGGCAAAGTGAGTGATTATATTTCATTTCGTTTTTTTTAAGTTAATTTAGAAAAACGTTTGGAGCATTTTTTGTTCATTAAATATACGTTTTTGTTTTTTAAAGTAATGACCAAGCGGCCAGTGGCAGACAGTGAGCTGATCATAGCCTATGTTTTATCAATTTAGCCTTCTCAAATCATCACGACTCTATAGATATAAAACAGTTCAAGCATATAACAATGTTTAAATGTTAAACCTAGATAAATGTGCACTGTATCCAATCGTTTGTGTGGAGAGTGGAAGCTAAAGTGTGCTTTGCAGGACATGGAGGCGTCAGCGTGATGACTTGCATTTTTTTTTCAGTGGAAACAACTTAAAATATGCCGTCATTTTTGCTCATAAAGGTGAGAGTAATACATTATTCGGAACTGTAAAGGGTCTACTTTTATTTGTGTGCACTCACAATATCAACAAAACATTGTGCTTTTATAAAATAAAGAAAACAAACACGGTGCGCTTTCTGCCGTCTCTGTCTTGAACAGGAGTGTTTCACAAAAATGAACCGAAACTCAGTGAATACATGCCTCACAGAAAGCTTTAAATTACTACTTAACGAAATAAAACAAATCGAAAACAAAAACTCTTTCATTATAATCATAATCCGTTAAGATGCACTTCTCTCTAAAAGAGCGTCTAATGAGGAGATGGCGAGTCAGGATCGGCAACTTCATCCTTGCGACACGGACTCAGAAAACACTAGTTTATTAGTAAATAATTCAAATATCTCCTTACTATTTCCCCCTGACACATTCATGGTAATTACTTTTGCTGGGGCTTTGTGGCAAGCTTTAGCCTATTGCGTGCATTTGAACGCGGAACTCTTCCAGCTGCGCTGACGGCACTCGCTGCTGCTGCGGGACACTAAACACCGTCGAGCCGCTTTTGACAGTAGCACGGTCTCGTGCTATTTCCACCAATGCGGCAATTTTTTTTTTATCACTAATTGATGGATGTTTAAAATATAAAAAATAAGGAGAAGCCTAAAGCAGGCCCGAGGCCCGGCCCGCGTCTGAACTACGACGTGAAAATTGGCCCGATGCCCGGCCCTAGGGGCGTAAAGAAGTCGGGGCCCGTTGGGCCCGGGCTGAAATGCAGGGCTCTAACCCTGATATGACATTTCCCCCCTTTAGTCTTTAATCTTTTCATTGGTAAATAAAAATTTTAATTATCTGAAATTTTTCTGTGCAGTTTTATTTTCTGCACGCAGTCTTCATGTCTCCATAAGTAGTTAAAATCTTCAGTAATTATGGTTATTTAATTTTTATTACAAGTTTCTGTTGTTATCTCTATGTTTACAGTCAAATTTAGCACATGCAGGTATTTTTAGATAATGTTAGACACAGTAGTAGTTTGTTACTGCTTGATTAGGTTCAGTTACCACAGAAAATAGTTCTTCACTGCTTTGTTAATCAAGTCAAGTGTTGGTCCAGTTCAGGATGGAATACACTACACAACTGAAAAGACTTTAAAACACTAGTCGTCATACACTTGCCAACTTTTGTAAAGGATAACGGAGAGAAACTACACTAAAGGACTGCTAATCACACACTAACAGACGTTCAAGTTGTTACAAACAAAAATTCACTCAAACATGTGCCTTGTTGCAAGTAGACATGACAAACGGAAACAATGTGTTTTTATAATATTTCAAAATATCAAATATGTTTGATACTGTATCTTGCAAATAGATGGAATCATAGTCTGAAGCTAAAAAAAAAGTCTGTGTCCATCATACACTACACATTCGTCTGTGAAATCTGTCAACTCCGACTGGCCAAAATCTGCAGACTGGTTCTGATTTTAAGCAACTAGCTTTGACTTCTCCAGACTTTAAACCTTAAAATCTGGGCAAAAGTTATGTAGTGTATTACAGCCTTTAATCAGGTCAGTAAAATCACTTAATTGTAACCAAATGAGATCCTGCTCCTGTTCATATATCCACTGGGACAGAATTGAAGTTGTACTTTATTTAATAAAAATGTGTTTAATCCAGCAGGGGAACTGAACAATTCTCCTCCCTCTACAGATTTCAAATGGTGCTAACAATTTAGCAAGTGTAAGTTGGTAAGTTCTTTGTTTTTGATATTTTTTATTAAGTGAACATAGTTGTGTCTTTGATCACCTGGCTCCATTAAGAAATGCAAGACCCACTATTAAAAACCTAATCAATTCCTGATAGGTAATATCAAGTCTGCTATTGAAAATCCTGATTTACTTATAAACACTTCAGACTGATTTTACCTTAAATATTAACTGCAATCACTAATATTACTAAAACATCAAATAAAGATGTAAAATATTACCTTGGGTGGATTAAAAGGATATGTTTCAGGTATCTTGATTTCTAGCTGGTATCTGCCCCCTATGGTGAAAAAAAGCTTGTAAATTATAATCTTAACCAGAACATTAATGTATCTGCAAACATCATGTCAGCAATAGAGAAGACTGATGAAAATAGCCTCACTACCTTCATACGGTGTGTCTGGTGGTCCTGCTATTTCTCCCTTTAACTCTGTGAAGTTTTCATCCACCAGATCTACTTTTATTTGATTTTTACTTGTCTGTTATAAAGTAGAACAAAAATAGAAACAGGAAAAAGGATTATTAACCCAGTTAACCTTTGTGCATTTAATATAACTGGGATCAGGACAAAACGGCAGAAACAAGCCTTTAGTTAGTCAAACAAGGTTGTTTCTTTACTTCAGCTGCCCAGAACAAAGAAGTGACCAATTAAGTGGTGGGACTGTTTCAAAACAATGAGCAGCCTAGGTAGACAGCATGAAAGGGGCCTGTGGTTCCCAAAAATGTTGTCTAGGTAGGCAACTCAATGGATTTTGAAACAACCATAGTGCTGCACTACTGAAAACTACTTAAACAGTCTAACAGTCCTGCTAACTGACACTAACACAGCAAACATGTCTGGACACGACCAGTAAAAAGTATTTAAAAAAAAAAAAAGAGGAAGAATACCTTAATAGGCGACAAACACGAGTGCTAATATTATAACACACTAAAGAGGGGTTAGTGAAGCAGCTAGCAGGCTAACTATGTCAAATAGCAAGTTAGCTTAATGGCTAAAGAACGGCGTGTGCAGTCAAGAATCTAGTGGTACTTTGATATGTCCATAAATGGTTTTCACATTTCGGTCAAGGCTTTCGTCTTAAAATATCAAAGGAAACACATTTGTCAGATGTAAGACTTCCGTATATAAAGGACACATCATATGACAGTTCATGCTAACATTAGCTTAGCAGGCTAAGCTAGCTCACTGGCTTCTGGACGTTTTCCCCAAAAGTCCTTTTGTTTGCTCTTAACGGGCAGGAAAATAGAGTAAAGTAACGTTTTGCAAACCTCTTCGCTTTTCAGCACTTCTTTGAACTCTCGCTTGATCCTCTGCACAGCGATATTTGCCATGGCTGATTGATTCCTCTCTCTATCACTCCCTCTCTTTCTCTCTTCCGCTGTTTTTGAGCCTCCAGTGATAGTGCTTCACTTTCACACCTCTCCCTCTCCTCCACTCCCCTCTCTCTCCCCCCTCTCCCCTCTCTCTCTCTCTCTCTCTCTCTCTCTCTCTCTCTCTCTCTGTCTCTCTCTCTCCTAAAACAGTTCACTGAGCTCCAGTACAAACACTGGCGAGCACAATGAGAGTCTGGAAAACTCAAACACTACACTAGAACACAGCGTTTGTCCTCTTTGTTGAAGCAGGTAGTGATATTACGCAGCAGAAAAGCAGAGCTCTTGACAGATCCAGAATGCATCCAGGTCTAGTATCAGTCCTATATGGCGTGGTGCTGTCAGATGATATCGTGCTTCTACAGCGTGGATATGTTTCACTCCCACGTCCAAATCACATACGTCCAAGTGTCCATCCTCACCTCTGCACTGTTTTTGCTAAGATGTTAGGCCTATAATATTTGTAATTAACAAGTCAATAGTAAATAGGCATAAACGAATTATATGAAATATAAATTAAAACTTTTAGAATGTAACCCACAATGTGTTTAATTACACAACCATTCAAAAAGTTGAGTTTATTTATTTATTTATTTACTTGAAATGACTATTTTTATTCTGCAATAATTCATTAAACTGAAAAGTGACTGCAAACAAGCAGTTTTTTTTTTCTTTTCCAACTTTTCATCAAAGAATCCTGGGGGAAAATGCATCACAGTTTCAACAACAACATTGAGCATCACAGCTGTTTTCAGCATTGATAATAGTAAGTATTGTTTATTGAGCACCAAAATAGCATATTAGAATTTCTGAAGCATATTATTAGATTTCAGAAGAATCATGTGACACTGAAAACTGGAGTAATGGCTGCTGAACATTTTTTGTCATCACAGGAACTAATAATTATTTTTTTACACAAATATATTAAAATAGAAGACAAATTGTATACATTTTTCATGGTATTTCTATTTTTACTGTGTTTTAGATCAAATAAAACACAGTGTAGCTTGGTGACCATAAAACCTTCCAATAACATTAAAAAAAATCTTTCTTACCAACCCCAAATGTTTAAACAGTAGTGCACATAATGGATTATATATTTTATATATACACTCTGGCTGTAACCATATAAATGTGTCTTCCCTGTGTCTATCGTGGATTTTATTTTGACATCCAAAATCAAAAACTTATTCTAAGCAAGAAGAAGTCTCACTTAACATGAATATTTGTATTGATTTGTATGATACCTATATTATACTTTGCTTTAAAAGCATCTCATGTTTATATTTGTGAATGTTTTAACAGTTGAAGAAGACTGTAATTGCCCCTCTATAATAAAACCATAGAATGGTAATAAGACACTGGATTGTATGTACAACATAAATGTTTCTTAGGAATTATTATTAATTAGCATCCAAAGGCCAGTATTACTCTTACTCTTAATACTTTTTATACAAATTTCTGCCAAACATACTGCATTTTCAGAGATTAAGCTCATTGTGAAATGACTGGTTTTAAAGTAAATAGTTATTGTTTGCAAAGCATTTTAGAAAAATGATTCATAATATATTCATCATGGATTTGGTCTGTCAAACAATGCATTACAAGAGGGAGAGTTGTATAGCAGTTTCCAGAATAGTCTAATAAAAGTCTAATAAAACAAACTTGTCTTGGTTAAAAAAAAAAAAATGCAGCCTGCCAGAACTGTCTGGAGTGCAGGCATATGAACCTATAAGACTAGTCTATAATTGTATAGGTCCTTCTCTCTATTGCTCAATCACTTATTCACTCTCTCACTTTAATCATCCACTCACACACCAAGATATCACTCATCTAAGTAACAAGTAAGCTCTCTCGGGTTATGAAAAGCAGACAGTAAAGATTGTTTTGATGCAATGCACATTAAAAGTAGTTGCATGCATGTAGCATTATATGTATTTTTCTATTTTTAAATAATAATAATAATAACATGTCAATATTATAAGACATGTCATTTGTTGTTCTGATGTGTTGGGGTGACATTAAAGTAAATAGCAAGTGCAAATTCACTCTACAAAATCAAGTAGTTTGCCATTGCATGATCCCACTGTATACCAAAAGAGTTTTAATTTGTATTTAAAGGGGAAATTTAGTATGAATTTTTCATAATCCAAGCACATTTAGCAAGTCACAAATAACTCACAAGAACTAAGTTTACTTTCAGTTTTTACCAAATGCAACGTTTTCTTTGGGATGTTAGATGCATTTAGGACATTTACACACAATTTCTGATTTCCCCAAAGCTTTCCTTTCCCTTCCACAGAATGCAGTTCAATAGAAATGCTTTATTTGCAATCAGCCATGATTCATTTTCAATATTTTTTTTTCAGTATTCAGCTGGTTATGTGACCTTTCACACCATGTAAAATAAAGCATATTTTATTAAATAAGAACATTATTTTCCTGGATATGCACATTTAATATTTCAATTGAGGCATAATACTACTATAAATAGTTTAAAAATGCAAAAACAATATTACAATAATAGACAGTAATATAATTGCTAAACTGTAAAAAAACTTTAAATAATAATTCAACACATTTAAAATATCTAAAAACATTTAAAATATACAGTATATAATCGGTGTCACTTCAGATTATATTCTGTATTGATTCAGTGAAAGTTTGCAAGCTATTGTTTCTAACACAATTATGTATTTGCAGCAAATCAGAATTACAAGTATTTCTGATGCCACCATTGCCTTGTGGTTGGGGGAATAGGACCAGAAATTCAGAAATTATGCACATAAATAGACTATTTACTCTTACTATCACTAACACTACATAAACCATGATTATTGGCGGGTTTTCACTGTTAATACAACATGATTTCAATAATTTTATCCTAAATTCTGGTAAGACTCATTAGGCTACTGAGATGAGTCTTCATTTCATGTTAGTGTAGCCTTCATTATTTTTCAAAATATTGTCCAAAGTTGCTGTTCATTTCTATGTGCACAACCCTTTGCAGTTTAGATGGGGCTGAGTGACGATGATGAGCTTGCATTTTCTTAGATTAAGAGCACACAGACACACTTCATTCACACAGACACACTTCTGTGACTAGCAGTGATGTGAACTGCAAATATACATTTCATTATTTACACTCAGCCAGCAAAATGCCGATATCCAATGAATAGATGGTACGCTTTGCGAACGATGAGTAATGTAACGCCATTTCAGTGTTTACCAAAACATGCGACATTTCACGTCATGTAGCGACGTGGCTCTCATCTGTTAGTTCCACCACATCAATGTACCAATCCTACTATGGCAAAGGCTTCCCTTCTGTATATTAATATATTAGGTGTTATGTTCGTCCAGTTCGCCTTGCTGATTGGCTGAAATGTAGACGTTGACGCGCTGAAGACTTACCTCATGAATAATAATTAGGCTGCGCAATTGGACGCCTCAGGACAGATACAAATCAACGCCAGCGCAAGCTCTTTACCATTCATGAACCGAGCCTTCGCTATAGTAACATTCCTAATTTTTGCTTCCCTGATCCTTATCAAAACACAGACTGAACATCAGCCGGAGCTGGGGCCCATTGCCAAACACCAGTGTACACAAGGGAGCATTTGCACTGGATTTGGCCTGAGCTGGCGGAGACTCTCAGGGGTCAATATTCACATTTCGGTCCTCCTGGTTTGAAGCGAATGGTTTTAAATCTCTTCGAGTGAGTTGTCGAAGTCATCGGTAAGACATCTGTCTATCCAAATCTGGTTTGTTTTGCACTTGGGTAAAAATCTTATTCATGTATTTTTTTTTTGTTTGTTTTTTAAAATGCTGTCTCTATTAGGCTAAAACATTTACACTGCTTTACTGAATAAATAAACATTGAAGACGCTAATATCCCAAATAACACTGCAAAATGCTTTAAGCAAGAATAGCCTATTTTCGGCATCTCACGATGGGAAAGCATTACTTTTTATTCTTTGTTTATTGTATAGACTATTACTTAATATTTTGTGTGTTTATGAGTGGGTTTATACGTTTTTAGTGTTCAAATAGACATGTTTTTGAAGTCAGCCGGTTGAGTCGAAGAGGAAGCAAACAAAACCGAACCAAGTTACGAAAAAACCTAGCCAACTGATAGAACAAGACATTTGCATCAAAGGTCTATCAAGCGTTCGCATTATTTTGTGGAAAATTAGTGTGGTAATTCACTGTTTGTGAGTAAACTTCCTTGTTCCAGCAAACCTGATTTGGGTTTCCTTTCATTTGTTTACAGTTTCCGAGATTCAGTCATGCCTAAAATGCTAAATACTTTCAGTTATTTAAACACACGGAACAAAACAGTGCAGTTTTGAAAGCATTAGGCTACTACGTCTAGATGATGTTGGACCTAATTGCTGTGGCAAACAAATGTTTAGGAATGCGATTTTTTTTTTTTACTGCAGTATTCGATTTAGGAATTAATGAGTAGGCTAACGTTACACTCACTTCAGTCGCGCGAAGTTGATTTAACAGGAGCGTGCAGTTCAGACTCAGAGCGAATGACAACCATCACAGCATCTCACTGAAACATACTAATGCAATAATTACAATTTTACTCATATTAATTTTTAACTGTGTAATTCACATATGGGAATTTTCAATTTGTGTAATATAAATTAAAACTTGGAAAGAAATTTTTACTCCAACGTATTTGTCATTAAATCGTCAATTCTTCGTGTGACGTGGGTCAATATGAGGCTGAAATGTATTTATTTACAGTTTATGTCATGGTTTATCAAGTACTCAAACAGATTTTTTTATCCACAAACTTTAACGAATTAAAAAAAAAACCCACTGCATTAGATGAAGCTTGGGAGAGGAGTAGCAGTCTAAATATCATACAGTTTTTAGTCTAGATTGTTAACTTTACAACATTGTCAGTCCATTAGGTAACCTATTTAAAGAAGCCTACCACAGCTTTGTGCTTATTTGGATTTCAAATGTGAGTCATGCTGACATCCTTCACATGTGAAGCCATTATAATTCACCACACCCATTCAGTATTTGAGTCTCTGTGTGTGTTTAAAATAATTGAATATTATTAGTGTTTGTAATTTTTATACATTTTTTGGAATGTTTGTGAATCCTGTCTTATTCAGGAGAGGATGGCAGAGGGAGGGTTTGACCCCTGTGAGTGCATCTGCTCTCATGAACATGCCATGAGGAGACTCATCAGCCTGGTAAGTTCTTCATCTCCTTTTCTCTCTCTTTTCCAGATCAGCATTTCAAATATTATTATATACATAACTTGTATAATATATAATACAACTTGCATTTGCTTATTCCAGAAGTGCAAATAGAAATTGATCTTTTGAATTTTATTTTTACTTATTGATCATGTGCATTTATAAATGAACATAAAACAGAAGTTTAATAATTTCAGTATTATTGTAAACAACCTTGAACAAAATTGATTTTGCCCTGAAATTGACTTAACCTCCATTTACTTAGTTTTATCCAAATAACATTATTGTGTATATTTCTTGTGATTCCTTTGGAATAGTATTGTCAGGATTTTTAAAAAAATATATAATAGAGAGAAAGAGTTATAATTGAATGAATTTCACACTGGCTAATGAAGCTATGGTTCTAATAAATAATTGCCAAAATGTTTGTTTCGTAATGGTGTAGAAATCCATTTAATTTCAGTAAATAATTTCAGTTGGATGTGTGCCAATCTTTGTATGTTCCAATGGTAGTTTTTAAGAGCTGTAGTGGACTATGTAACTACATATCTTTATGAGGTTATTTTATCTTGAAAAAATTACGCTATAGGTGTTGCTATAATAATTCTGCTTTTGTAGTTTAAATAAATGGCCAGTAGATGGCGCTAGTGCTTTGGTTCACTTGGATCAGCCCAGGAATAACATTCATTTGATTCAGCTATTTGAAGTATTTTTTTTTAACAAGCATTTGAAATGAAATATACTTTGTTTCACAGAACTAATCGTTGCCTGGGTTGCGTACGTATGTGTGGGGCGGAGCTATCAAAATAGGGGCAAGACCCTTTTGGGGTAGGGGCGTGTTTGTTTTGGTGATTTCAAATATCAACATTGGCTACAAGAAATCGCTTACTCTGCCTTTAATGTTTTATGAACTAATGTAATGTAGAAGCCCACGTCCACATACACACGCAATGTTGTCATAGGGTATGTTTTTTTAATTAGCCTTTTTGATCAAATATTTTCTTTGTGATTAATTTCCAAGCTGAGGCAGTCCCAGTCCTACTGTACAGACACAGAGTGCCTTCAGGACAGTAAGTCTGTGTGTCCAAAACAAAAGCATATCACACGATAGCACATATTCTGTTATATTTTCTAACATTTGAGTCTTGTGTGTGCAGTGCCAGGCCCCAACTCCTCGGTAGAAGGGGACATCACTCTACCCATGATTATTATGGGATGGCTAGTTCTAGCTCTCATGCTCTTCTTGTTCCGCCCAGCCAGCTTGAGAGGTCCTTCAGCCAGCAGCAAGCCCTCCGGTCCCCATGGTGTAAGTCATGACAGATAATATAATGATGGTCAAACTGTGTGAGTTATCACTTACATTAGCGGACAAAAGTTTGGAATAATTACTTTAAAAAAATAATTTTAAAAAGTCTCTATGCTCTACAAAACTGCTTATTTGATTAAAAATACAGATAAGCATTAATACAGTGAAATATGATTACAATTTAATTAATAGTTCTTATTTTTATCAATGTTGAAAACAGTTTTTGCTGCTTAATATTTTTGTGGAAATCATGATGCATTTTTTCGAGATTCTTTGATGAATAGAAAATGTAAAAGAACAACATGTATTTGGAAAACAAATGCTTTGTAACATTATAAATGTCTTTACTGTCACTTTTGATGGATTTAATGTGTTCTTGCTGAATAAAAGTATTAATTTCTCACTTACCCCGAACTTAAATGGTATTGTTTAACTGTTACCACAAAAATATTAAGCAGCAAAAACAGTTTTCAAGATTGATAATGATAAAAAATATTACTTGAGGACCAACTCTGCATATTAGAATGATTTCTGAAGGATCATGTGATACTGAAGACTGGAGGAATAGCTGCTGAGAATTCAGCTTTGCCATCACAGGAGTGAATGACATTTTTAAATATATTAAAATAAAACTTTAATAATATTTCACAATAGTACTGCTTTACTGTATTTCAATCAAATAAATGCAGCCTTGGTCAACAAAAGAGAATTCTTTCAAAAACATAAAAAAAAATGACGTTTGGTCAGTAGTGTGTAAATGACCAGTACAGTGAAATAGCAGTAATCAGAAAGTGAAGCAACTCAACACTGTTAATTTACATTAATCCTTGAATTGTAATTCCTGTAGTCACTGGATGGAATTTTTTCTTCTCATTTAGAATCATGGCAGAGAACCACCAGCACCTCCTGTGGACTAGAGGTTTTTCCACTGCAAAAGATTTGATCTTTTAATCCAGCTTCCACCTGATCAGCTACTGTGGCTAATATAACTTATTAGTTTCCTTAATCATCTGTCAGTGTTTCAGATTCCAGATTCTTTAGTCCGATGAGGGGGGCTGATCTAGACAGCCACATGCATAACAAGGTGTTTCTACAACGTGTTACATTTCAAAAGAGGAAGCAAAAAGAGAAAGTTGCCCTAGTGGTGAAAATTGTTGGAGTCTAAATTTTCCCGGATTTATATATCTCTGTCTTCAATTTTTTTCTTCTTATTATTATATTTTTATTATAAAGCATTATTAGGTATTTAACAAGTTGTTAAAATGACATATAGGCCTATATAATGACATTTGCCCTAGATCAGCCTGAATATGAATTGTGATCTAAAGGAAAGGTTACCTAGAAATTGGGTGTCGTCAAAAGATTTGGGTTATTTTTGAGTAGACTGAGGTGAAGAGGAAAATGTTTCTTGTCCTGTGGTAGCCAATACATTCCAAAGCTATGATGACTTCACAGACATGATGTCATTGGTCCATGGAGGAGAATGAGCCTTGACTCTGCATTGAGTCATTCTAAACGCAGATGTAATTGAAATGAGTTAAGGTTGACCAAGACCACTTCTTAAGTAAAATTTTTGTGCAGGAGGAAATGATGAAATGGGCGTATTCCAGTTTTTACTTGGCTCTTATCACTTTTGACGTCATGGCTGTGTGGATGTTGTCATGGTCTGGGATCTGTTGACCACGGAGAGGTGGCTGATCTAAAGCAGACCTCTCCACCCTGAAGACTTTGACAATCTATTTACCCTTTGTGTATAAAAATTGCTAGAGCAATTGCTAGCATAGCTACTTGAATGCCATTCTTTGGTCTCAGTTTTTTTTTGCATTTGCTCGGGAATCATTATGTAGCTATACTAACTAAAACAGTTAGTCAAATGGTATAGGTAGCTGTCAAATTGCAGTGTTGAAAATCTAAAAACAATGTAATCTTTCAAAATAAGAAGATAAATTGGGTACTATGGAATATTGGGAATATTTGTGAAGAGTGAGATTGCCTTTTATGTTACGCTTAAAGGCAAATCTTCAAACGGTAGCACTTTGGTTGTGGCACCTTTACAGTTGTGTACAGAATGCAAAGCTCCAGAAAAACACTAAAGAGAAGATGTAAATCTGCCCCATTTCAAGTTTGGTGTAACTTACTCAAACTTCCTGTCTCTTCGGTTCTGTGAGAACGTTAGAATGTCTTGGACAACTTGGTGCAGTTGGCTGGACTAATGATTTCTGGGTAGATCAGTTAAGGTGGTGGTGTGGATTTCAGGGCATGTAAATTCTGTCTATGTATGTACACTGTTCCAATGAAACTGCTCTATGACAAAGGGCTTGATCTATGCACTTTTGGTTACTACAAATAAATACGAACAATAGCATCAGGACGTGTTTTTCTTTCGTTAAATATGGGAATGGGAATATTTGTTGGTGGTGGTTAGTCTCTTTCATACGTTTCTAATTAGAATTTGTCGATATGACTTTACTCTCGAGAGTAATTTCTGCGTCAGAAGGACCACTAATACTTTCCTTTGACGTTACGTCACCGAGACCTCTCAGTCACTGATTGGCTGCTTCTGAAACGTCTGCGTTCTCCACACGTAATGTTTCGCTTTAGTGGCATTTATGTCAAATGAAATGTCCCAGAAATCAGTTTTACCGTATTTATTTTACGTTATCTAATTAAATTAGATTTAAATAACAATAATAAACCATTTCGGTCTATGAACGTTTATTTGTTCTGTGTAAGTCACAGTCAAAATTATTTTTGATTACCGCTTACTTAGGTTAACGAGACTCTTAATTTGAAAAGACTTAATGACCCGGAAGCAGAGTTTGTCCCCTCCCTTATCTGAAGTGTTTACGTTGCTATCCCCCTCCCGGTGGGTGGGTGTGTGTTCGTTCGTAAACGTGTGTGTGTTCTGCGTGAGTTTATGTATCAAGGATATAATAGTTTTATTCATTCGGGAACAAGGCACCTCAGACGGAGGAACCTTGACTGCATACTGGCAAGTCACACAGAAGAGTGTTTAACTGAAGAACTTCACTGTGAGACGAGGTAAGTCTGTATTATAGCTATTGAAATCTTTTATATATATATATCACATAGAATTTAAAGTTGTGATTGAAGCTATAATACAGAACCTAAAACTGATCATATTCTGTAAATCTTTAAATGATAAAACAGTTTTATCATTAAGTTAAAGAGTTCCTATGTTCACGAGAACATCAGCAATCAAATCATAAATCATTTAACGACATTTTACATGTTAAAAGCATCAACAGGCAACAGTTATAAACTTGTTTTTGCGAACACAAAATTTGCGTTATTTCTATCTATCTTTAAATTTTATCATCTGTTTTTTATTATTAGTTAACTTATTCATGGCTGTTACAGCAGAGCCATACACGTTAATTAACTTAAACGGTTTCGTCTTTTGAGTCGGATTTTTTTTTTTCAATTAATCTTTTGATCTGCTGTTTCGCAAAACCGCTCTGGGCTGCGTTTCCCAAAAGCATCGTAAGCCTAAATTGATCGTAGCTCCATTGGTTTCTATGGGTCTACGATGTACTTAAATTTACGATGCTTTTGGGAAACGCAGCCCAGAACGATTCATTCACGAAGTGATGTCAAAGACCCACTGACTAATTTACCAGAGAAACGATGAGTGAGATTGTACTGATGGGTTGAAATGTAATTTACTTTACATAAACTTTAAAAACATTTTATTACCTTAATGTAATATACACGCGAGACTTAACTGATTTTAGGATTTATTTTTAATAGCATTTATTAGTGGATCACTAAATATATATTATATAAAAGAATCGCTGAATCGTATTTTGGGATGAACCGTTCAAAAGAACCGAACGTCGCAAAGGAGCCGAACTTCTCATCACTACATAAAGCCCCAGGGGGTCAGTAATATGATACTTACCAGTGACCGCCTCATGAGGCCCTGGGTCTCTGTGAAAGAGAAGGAATTGCCTTGAGATTATTTGAATGGTTAATAAGCGGCCATTCATAATTGTCTCATAATCTGTTGCAGACCATTTAAGGGCTAATTTTTTTTTAAACCTTGATTCCATCTGTCTCTTTTCTCAGATGTTTCAGATTAAAACGATTTGCTGTATAGGCGCTGGGTATGTTGGAGGTCCGACATGTAGTGTCATTGCAAGCATGTGTCCCGAGATCACAGTAACAGTAGTGGATGTTAATGAATCCCGGATCAAAGCCTGGAACTCTGACACCCTGCCCATCTACGAGGTAACAACGTTAAAGATATACATTCAAGTTAAAGGTGCACTCTGATTTATTTTCTTAATTAGAAATATTTTTACCCTTAAACAAGTGAATAGTACAACAAATTTCAAAAAGAAATGCTTGAGAATTCTTCATGAAATGGGTCTTTTCTTCTTGCTGTTGTAGCCGGGTCTGAATGAAGTGGTGATGTCTTGCCGTGGGAAGAACCTCTTTTTCTCCACAGATATCGACTCTGCCATTAAAGAGGCAGATCTGGTCTTCATTTCCGTGAGTGTGACAAACTATTTTAATGTGGTTTTGCATGTAGGTCTGTACACTGACCCAAATATCCTTCTCTTTTGCTCAGGTAAACACCCCAACTAAGACATATGGTATGGGCAAAGGTCGTGCTGCTGACTTGAAGTTTATCGAGGCATGTGCACGGCGGATTGTGGAGATGTCGGATGGGTATAAAATCGTTACGGAGAAGAGCACGGTGCCGGTCCGTGCAGCTGAGAGCATCCGCAGGATATTTGATGCAAACACCAAACCCAGCCTCAATTTGCAGGTGTGTTTGTATGAGCGGCTGATATATGGGGAACTTGACAAAAAAAATGTCCATGAGATTTAGTCCAGAATTTGAGGATCAATTGTATATAATTGTATAAAGGATATCGACTCTGCCATTAAAGAGGCAGATCTGGTCTTCATTTCCGTGAGTGTGACAAACTATTTTAATGTGGTTTTGCATGTAGGTCTGTACACTGACCCAAATATCCTTCTCTTTTGCTCAGGTAAACACCCCAACTAAGACATATGGTATGGGCAAAGGTCGTGCTGCTGACTTGAAGTTTATCGAGGCATGTGCACGGCGGATTGTGGAGATGTCGGATGGGTATAAAATCGTTACGGAGAAGAGCACGGTGCCGGTCCGTGCAGCTGAGAGCATCCGCAGGATATTTGATGCAAACACCAAACCCAGCCTCAATTTGCAGGTGTGTTTGTATGAGCGGCTGATATATGGGGAACTTGACAAAAAAAATGTCCATGAGATTTAGTCCAGAATTTGAGGATCAATTGTATATAATTGTATAAAGTAAAGTGTCACCATCCACTTTTTTTTTTTAAATCACCTTTTTGCTATTTCAAATACATGTTGTTATTTTAAACTTTCTATTCATCAAAGAATCCTGTAAAAAATTGTTTTTGCAGTTTCCACAAAAATATTAAGCAGCACAACGGTTTTAAACATTGATAATAATAAGAAATATTTCTTGAGCACCAAATCTGCATATTAGAATAATTTCTGAAAGATCATGTGACACTAAAAACTGAAGTAATGGCTGCTGAAACTTTAGCGTTGGCATCACAGAAATAAATTACATTTTAAAATATACTGAAATAGAAAACAGTCATTTTAAATTGTAGTAATAATTCACAATTGTAATGTTTTTTTACTGTATTTTATATCAAATATATGCAGCCTTGGTGAGCATAAGAGACTTCCTTAAAAAACATTAAAAACATCTTAAGGACTCCTACTGAATAGTAATGTGTGTGTGTGTACAGTATATAAATGTATGTATATGTGTGTGTATTCACTCAAATAGGACACAGTGGGGGTATTAAAAAGTTAAAGGAACTTGTTTGTCTAATTTATGTTGTGAAAATATGCTTCTACATTAGTTTGACATTTTACACAGCCATCGTCTACTTGTAAATATAATCTGGGTTAGGCTGTTGTTTTAAAAGGGATTTTCTACAAAGGTTGCTATTTTTGCCTCTCTCAAGTGAATAAACCAACTGGATTTGTGGACCTTAGGGATTTGTTCACTGCTCCTCTGTGTTAATAAATTACCTTTTCCCACCTTTGATTACAGGTTCTCTCGAACCCAGAGTTCCTTGCGGAGGGTACAGCAGTGAAGGACCTGAAGGACCCAGATCGCGTCCTGATAGGTGGAGATGAGACTCCAGAGGGTCAAAGGGCCATCAGTGCTCTCAGTGCAGTTTATGAGCACTGGGTCCCCAAATCACGCATAATCACCACCAACACCTGGTCCTCAGAACTTTCCAAACTGGTATGTATGATTTAAATATAAGAATTCAATCAATGATCAGAGTGATGAGAACGAGCCCAATAAGAATTGTAGCCAGAAAAAAGCTGAGCATTTCTGTCATAATTTGATATGTAAAACTCCTTTAATTATAATGTGTGTTTTAGGCAGCAAATGCATTCCTGGCTCAGCGCATCAGTAGTATAAACTCCATCTCTGCCTTGTGTGAATCCACTGGCGCTGATGTCGAGGAGGTGGCCAGAGCCATCGGTATGGATCAGCGCATTGGGAGCAAGTTCCTCAAAGCCAGCGTGGGTCAGTGCATATTGATATTGTGATATTGTGGAGGACTGTTTCCTGATCCTGGGAGAGTAGACTACAATGCCGGCTGTTCTGACTCACAGACTGTAAGTACGTTTTTTATATTTAAAGAATTTGCCACTGACGATTCATCAAACGCGAGTTTTGAGCAGTGTAGAGTAGCACTTGTTGTTGGTAAGGTAAGGTATGGTAAGGGGCGTAACATTTCCGTCACACGCTTGAGGTATTCGGCCAATCACAACGCACTGGATAGCTGGCCAATCAGAGCATACCTCGCTTTTCAGACCGATGAGCTTTGAAAAAATTGACGCTTTTCAGAAAAGCGGGGCATAGAGGAGAAACAGTAATGTACATTATATGGAAAATAATGTGGTTTTTTAACCTTAAACCGCATAAACATTTCATTACACCAAATACACACAAAATAATGTTATTTTTAGCAACATCATATGACCCCTTT